CAGCTGAAGAGTGACAGGAAAGGAGAGAGAGAGGGGATGACACACGGCAAAGGTCAGCAGGTTGGATTCAAACCCTGGGCCACTTCTACCTAGCCTGGTACATGCTACCTGGGCAGGTAGTTTTTTTTTAACTTCCATTAGCTCTCATTGTAGCAATTACTTCCCAATGCTTCTTTCTTATTAATAAGAGATCAGGGCATTTTTGGGTGTTACTGCACATAAGCAGATTCTGCGCTAATGAGCAGGGCTTTGCTCAACAGTTGGAACAATAGTGCTGCACCCTCATTACTATAGCGTGATCGTTTCCCTTCCAAAAATAGTGTTAAATGGATATTATGATGCAATTTCACAGAGTGTGTGTTTTGGTAATACACTTTTGTGAAACCAATATCACCACTCGCAGGAATTCTGGGAACAATGAATGGGATAATGCTCTACCTGGCAATACATGCTGGAGAAGCAGGCTGGACTACGAATTACATTATGGCCAAGTGTCTACCATACCATTAAATATCTGAGTGGTTTGTACTATAGAGTCTGATCAATCATCAATTACTCAAAGTGGCAGGTTTTAACCGTTATCTACTTCACAGTTTGAGGTTTTAAAATCACCAAAAACTATAACTAAATACAAGAAAACACAAGAAACCAATCGTTAGCTCCACTAGCAGAAGCAAGGGCTGTCCGTATGCTTCATCCACTCACTGGCTAAAGCCCATCTAAGCACATCATTTTGAATTCAGACATGAAGACAAGCTGTGCCAGCCCCCTGAATTACAGAGAGTAAACTATCATTTAACAGTCTGAACCTTCCCATTGAATGAGGGGGTGTGGTGACTGCAATGACAGATACAGAGAGCCTGTCAGCTTTTGTGAATTGCAGTCCAATTGTGCAAGCCTCTCAGCCCACAGCCGATTGGATCAATAGATGGCAACCCAAATATTTGACGCACTGAAATAGCAATCAACAGGGAATAACTGGAAAACAGGGGAACACTGTCAATAACATTGATGTGAAGTGGCATTGCACATTTGACAAGTCTCATTAAGCAGAGGAAACGCTTCTGTGCTAGTAGGGCTTGCTAAAAATATAGATACTACAGTGAGATTTCATTTATTTCAGTAAATCCTGTAGGTATCTTTCCAAGTCTTTTCTGGGTGTGTGAGGCCGCATTAAGCTTGTAAACATTATCTAGTTTGGGTGCCCAAAAGAAAACATCTCCAAGCCTAAATGCAGACATCTGGGTACACTTTGGAGTACAATGCTATGACCCTGAGCTGTGATATTCAATGCTGAGAAAATGTGGTAAAAGAATGGGAATTCTGTTATAACCGTACTCCAGTGATTTCGTTTTGCTCTTACAAACAGCTGGGGGAGAGAGACGGATTAAAAAAAAAAAACAAGAATGGTCACAATTGATGCAGCAAAGGCTCAGATGTCCTGACTCATCAAGTAAGACCATAAAAATAAGTAGAGCCCAGCAGACTTGCTTCCTTTGAAAAGTCTGTCAGCTCTGACTTCCTAATTTTTATTGTAAACGGGGTCTCAGTCCATCATAAAAGCTCCAAAAACACGGATCCCACAGTGCTCATAGTGAAAATCAATAGTATTTTCATTGGATCCTCCCTGCCTTTGACACTGCACGCCAGAAGTACATAACGTAGCCTTCCAGTTAAACTGTCATCGTCAAGCCCGAGTCAAGGTAATCCTGGTGACATCAGTAGTGTTATCTTCTCTTGACAAAGCTCCTACAAGAACCACAGATAACATTATACAAATGGATTCACAAGACGAGCATTATTCATGACAAGAAAATCTGACTCTGATGAGTAAAAACATGCTGAACTTTCCCTTTAAATGTAACTGACTCTTACATAACGGACTACAAAGCTGGAAGTGATAAAAAGAGACAAAGAACTGAGACTTAACTGGTACTCATTTTCATGGTGATTACTTACTAAAGCAGAGAAAGCAAGAGACACAGAGGAAGTGAAGTCATACAAGTAACATAAGGTGAATAACCAGAGCTTCAGGTACTGGTGAGCGCTCCCTCTCCATCCTCATTACTATGGAAACATGGTTTGTTTGAGAAGTACAGCATACTAGCAGAACTAGAAGGAGACATGTTAAATAATATCATTTGAGTTTTGATATGCTCTCTCTTATTGCCCTTTAGGCTTCACCCTTTATTTCATTATACTGCAGCAATGTGACTGGGTTAATGGTTTACATTTGTCAAACAGACAAAAGCAACATTTGAATAAGCTTTTGGCTGTGTCCATTGTTACCATTTAGAAAGCACATTATACAGTGTGCAAAATGAACTCTTTTCAAACTCAGAGCACTGGTATATTAATCACCCAAATCAATTTAAACTTGGAATTGGGAGATCTCATAGATACCCAGCTTTGGGTGGTAGCGTGGAAAGTAGTAAAATGCAATAATTACATTAATCCAAACAGACCATGCTGAAAACTAGGCAAAGTAGAGTGGCACATCCATGCACAGCTGCAACAGAGAAGTTCAGTCAAACTTCTTTGGGCGAAAAAAGGAGCTTGGAAACGTGGAGGATTAGCAAAGGATTGGCTTAAGAGGTTCGAGAAATGGCCAACCAACTAATTAGAAATCCCTTTTCAATTGTCAAGCTCCTGTAATCTTAAATGATGGCTTAATTTCTCAAGCCAGTGACGAATGAGCTGATTGAAACTGTAAGTATCAACACTCAGTGGCTGCCCACCAAGTTTGAACAGCACCTGCTGCGAGGAGAAACAAAATGTGGACCTAGTGAAGTTTATCAGTACAGCAGCTGCAAGTAACAGCTGAAGCAAAAACCAAAATATTTCGAAAAACTGGCTAAAAGCTGCTTCTGCTTTGTAAAGAAGCAAACCATTATCAAAATATTTGTTTTCCTTCTGAATCTATAAATAACCTAATATTCTCTAAGGCTTAAAACATGTCTGATAATACAAAGATAGTAAATAAAGAGCATAGTTATAGCAGGGGTTTAAAGTAGGTTGAAACATGCTTATAATATTCTGTTCCCTCACCTACTCACACACAGAGCAAACAATACCATGATAGTTAAGATTGCTTTGTGCTTTATAAGCTGATATAAAGCACAGACCGGGTAGAATGAGCGGGGGAGGACGAGTACACTCGAAAGTATGAAACAACCGATGTCACTCACGCTAGAAATATGACAGGACTCTACGTTGACACATGTTTGAACAACTCACGCTCTCTCTAAACAGCCAAATTCCTATTCAGCTATTTCTCCTCAGACAATGCCTCGCTGGCCTGCGTAGCCAGAGAGAGAGACTGCAGTGTGCCTTGTACTTTTATCATATTGTCAATAAATGAAAGGTCAAGAATTAAATAGTGAGTAAATAGTGATTCTTGAATGACACCCGCTTTAGCGCTGTTGTGTAGCATGGTATTTAACGCATTCCTTTTGGTTTGGTGAAGCCCTGGACATTTTTTTTTCCTTGCTTTGAGATGACTGAATAGAGGACTGTTGCTGCTACAGTGAATATGCGGTGCCGTTTTAATCTGGGATCAAACTGAAAATCCCCTCCCATAAGAGTTCAGTCAAGGTCACACTGGCGATTAGGCAGACTGTCTATAGAGAGAGACAAACTGAGACAGTGATAGAAAAGGGAAAAAAGAGAGCGGTGATGACAAACACCACTGCCCCAGCGGGGATCAACTGAAGCCTCACTAGTAATTTGGCCAAAAGTCTAGGTGGCGAACGAGTAACACAGACGAGATATTCAAAAGATGAACTCACTCCTTCCCTGACATGTTCAAGTCATTACTACCCAGCCGTACAGCCTCTCGTTTTGTCCGCCACATGTGGGACATCGACCTGCCTGCAGCCTGGTGCTGTGCCCAGGCAGACAGCTGGTCTGTCTGAAGCCTATACACCGAGACACACAGACACGCACACACACAGACACAGAGGTGAAAAGGGAGAAAGGGAGGGTACGAGGGACATATCCACAGGCCTTGAAATAGAGCAGGTCAGAGCCAGCCTGCCCGGCCACCTGTCTGGCATATGAGTTTTCCAAGGAAGTGATGTCAAGGTATCCACAATGTGGACGACATGGCCAATGACACGCCTCTTAAACTATGCACTCGCTACTAGCATCCTGTATTTGATCCAACTAAACAGTCATGTTGAGTGTAGTGTAAAAATTACCATCTATAGGTGATGTTTTTAACCGGTTGCAGAGTCCTTGAGTATCCTCGTAAGATTCCCCAATTTTGCTTATTGCCTCTGCGCCTCTCAGTTCCATAAGGGAGCGCAGGTCTTTGAGCGTGCAGCCAAACTCTCCATCGTGGTTGGCCTCCACCATGGAGTTCTTCACCCCACTGTATGAGTTGTTCGCCATTGTCTCGCCGTCTCACCACTCTACTGCAAAGCGTTGCTGCTTCGGCTCAACAGTGGGGGTAAAAAAAAAAAAAAAAAGAAGAAGAAAGAGTTGTCCTGGAAAAGCTTAAATCCTCAAGAGTGCAAACACAGTGGTAGTTCCCATAAACAGCTGATGGGCCCTTCAGAGGCAGCTGGAGTCATACGGCAGGTAGCAGGGCAGGGATATTACAAAACAAGCCATTTCCCCTTGGAGAGCTGAGTTCCTAGTCTTTCATGGTGACTGAGGATCACCCACAGAGGCGGAGATCACCATGCATGCAGATCTAAAAGAGAAGAGCAGACAGAGAAGAAGAATTAGTGTCATTTCATACACGGCATACATGGACTGATATCACACAATGACAAGGCAAGCTGTTCAGGAAATATGTGTGTGTATATATATATAGTGTAGGGCTGCTCGATTATGAAAAAATCATAATCACGATTAATTTGGGTCAAATATTGAAATCACGATGGTATTCAAACGATTTAGTTTTTTAAACTTCAGAAACATGCTGCATTTATTGGACATTTGTCAAAAACACTTTGACAAGGAAGCTTCCTCAGTGACACTTTCTTTCCCCCCCGTAAACATTTGCTAACTCTCTCGTTACGCTGTTCAAACGAAAACAACGTGAGGCATGAGAAGACTGCAACTAGTGTCGCGCCCGCCAGCACAAAATCACGTTAACAGTGCTCCTGTGACGTCACGCGTGTCTGCGCGACATTTCGGAACCGAGTATAGCCAGAGTGCATGACTCCGTGTGCATGTGCGGGGGAGCGACGGAATCACGCCCAGACTGTAACAACGTTGCATCAACAGAAAATGAAAAAAAAAATCGTTTCCCCCCCCGATTTTATTAGTTTTGAGATCATTTGGCCCCAAAATCTTAATCATGATCAAATTTCGATTAATTGAGCAGCCTTAATATTTTGTTTTACAATTAACCCATTACAAAGAAGTGTAATATCATAATAAGATGTTTTTAAAGCTAGAACGTTGAGTAGAGGAATAACCCTTTTTGACAAACATGGTTTCATTGTCTGTACCTTTAATATAGCCGGGCAATGTTACAGAGCCAATTCTCTGGGCCTTCCCCAAAGTAAAGTACTTTTTGCTGATATCAGAAAACCGATAATGTGTAAAGTAACTTCGGTCAATATCAATACATTATTAAATCCAATACCATCAGCTGTATAGTTTCCCATACGTGTATTGACGTATTAATGTACATGTTAACTGTGATGCTTACTCTATGAGCATATTCTTGTAGTGACATTTGTAATAACTTGTTTTCAATGCAGCATGTTAAGCCATATGTTAATCATATACATTTCCTGTCATCACACAGCTAACAGTACACTTGCAGACATTTACGTTGAAATATTTTACTACTGCACAAGAGGAAACCTGGAAACCCTTCGACAAAACCACTTGGCTGCGGAGACAAGCAGCAAAGTAATTAGCAAAACTGACTACAGCCGTTGCCAAGAGATTTTGATTAGCTGTACTTGAATTGTAATAAAATAATAATAATTTTGTGATCTGGACAAAACACTTGTCAAGTAATGTGCACTCTGCTTCACGGTCAGAGTATGTGAGCAGAGTGGAGCATTAGCATTCAGTAATCACTCTGCCCCGAGGTTTTTCCTGCATGGAGAATTTAAAAGGTAGCCCGTCTCCTCTGCAATGTTTATCTACTGTTAATACAAACGTCTTGCAGCTGTTTCACAGTGAACGGCTTCCAGCAGCATCCCCCTGTTTCTTAGCTTTGTTGGATTTTAATTGACTCTCTGTGTTTGGTTGTATTTGCTTTTGGTGTTTAGCAGAAAATAGGGCAAAGAGCTAATAAAACAGTGATTATAAAGACAAACTGATAACTTTTAACTGTGGTCTAGACAAATACTCCTTTCTGATTGGCTGAAGAATATTTGTTAAAACAACTTCACGTACAAAAGGATGTAAACTTAACAGTATCTGTCTAAAAGGATAACTATATATTTGTATTTGGAGCTGTAATTAATATTGATCGGTAGGGAAAACTACATTAAGTTTGATAATAATCCCACTCTTATGAGAAAATCAGAGTTTGGGGATGATCTTACTTTTAAATACAGAGTAGAAAATTACAATTACTTTACACACTATGGGACAGGAACTTCTAGTACAACCAGGTGTTAGGTAAAAAAAAATTACAGTCAAATCCTTTTATCTAAAAAGCTTATCCAGAAGACTGTATCACAATACTTTGCACTGACAAACATACAGGAGGTCATTGAAAAAAAAAAACCTGAATGAGAAACAAATCCCCAGCAGCTTCCCTGCAGTGTGACTGGTGGGGTAACGTAGTGAGCAGGGACCAAGTGACAGATTACCTCAGGAAAAGCCGTTCTGTTTAATCTAATTAAGACTATCTGTGGCATCGGGGAGCTCCACGGTGGTCTACATGGGAGAGTCCACTCTAATGAGAGGCTGCTGTCCATTCAGCTTTAATCAGCCTAACACAATGAGGCGGATTCATTCATGTCCACCAAGTTGATAGGAATTTGTGTTGGTGCAGCTGAGATAGAGAGGGAAACACAGGACTACATACAAGAGGATTTCATCTATCTATCTATCACTGCAGGTGTTGTATTGTTTAAGGAGGACTCGACTTTAATAATCTCGTAAAACCACAAACTTTTAATTGAAAGATTGGCTTGATTATTCTATTTGGTCTGGAACATCTCTTTTCGTGAAACGTCTTCAACATAACAACTGTACTGAGACCTAATGAAAGCCATGTCATGCAGTATAATTCACCAATCGCAACAGGCGAAACGTGGACTGGAGTAATTCGAATCCACAAAAGATTCAAGGCAAGGCGCGAGCAGAACAGGCCCTTCTTATCGTTGACTGGAGGGAAATTGCCATGCCAGTTGGGGTATCTCTCAGGCTGGGGGAGGTTTTCCACTCATCTTGATGCATTCTACGGGCTCTATAACAAAATTCTAACAAAAATCACGTTTTGAAACGAGAAACACCACAAACAGAGGACTTCCAAAACGCAGTCCAACTCCCGTATAACTGACATCCAAAACTCTAAATGTGTCAAACAACTTATAAAACCTGGCGACATGCGCAGAACGCAAAAGGAAGAGAAAGTGTAGGCTTGTGTATTATCGCTCCAAGGTGGCACAAATGAAATGCTTTGCAAGCTTCAATTCCATTTGGGAATCTTGGAAACTATCTCTGTCACATGTTGAGATTTTCTATTCTGCGAGCCATCGCCATGGATAAAACGGGATGGCTAGATCATTTTATTTATTTATTTACGCCAGCATAATTGCCCAGCTGTTGGGCGCGGGCGTGTATTACTGAGGTGGAGAAAATCGCCAGAAAATCCCTGGCTTCATTTGAACTGGAAAAATTACTCCACCTTGATACTGGACCACACAAGTGTACCATGTTAATGGTGCTGCTCTCAATCATTCAGATCTTTAATGACAAGGATATTAAAGTGTTTTATTAGGAGCCTTGGACAGGAAAATGCCATAAACTGCTGGCTGATAACGGACTTATGAGTACTCAACACGTGTACGCGCGACGTGTTGGCCTCATTTCCCTGGACACTCTTCGGTTACTTCATTTGTTTTATATTATTATTCTTATTTTTTTGCTGCAATAACTCTTGATCCCACCCACACTTAAGTGCAATAATTTATATTAACTGCTAATTTTCTGGCTTAATGTCACTTATCGACTGGTTTAACAACACAATCGCACAGCATACTGTCCACTCCACTTATATTGAATCTTTTACTTATTAATCTACTATTAATACCTCTATACAGTTCTCAATACATTTATCTTATTGATTCATTGTTCCAGTGAAGTTTTTATTTATATTTTTATATCTCTATCTCTACTTTCTGTTTATTCTAGCAAAGAGATTTATTGATTATATATCGTTATATCTGGGTTAACTGTATTTTTTTTAAATACCTCTTTATTTTTCTACACTGGTTTTTGTAAGGCTGGCTGGAAATTCAATTTCCTTGCGGGAATCATCCCAAAAAGGATCAATAAAGAGAAGTCTAAGTTCAGACCCCTCAACCTTTTACAAGGATGGAATCTAACTATTACAATTGTAGCCCAAGTTACAGACTCCAAAGGGATTTGAGCGGGCCCAGGCAAGCTCACAAGCTCTCCCAGCCAATGCCATCTGAGCAATCAATTGATATTCGCTGATAAATTGTTAAAATTTGACTCAACTACTAAAAAGTTGGAGGGCTGCCTCTGTATATGCCACGTCTTTGATAATGCCCACTGGACTAAAAAGAAAAGGCCTCCTATCTTCTCAGATTAGAGAGTTCATCACAATACCGTTAAGTTACAAACATGCCACTGGAACGGAGAATAATCAGTTATCGGGTTTTTTATAAACCGATGTTTGTTCGTAGGGGCTTCCAGCCTATTCCGAGCCCTGCATGAACGCAGCATGTGGACGCTTTTACCGGCGCGCCGTCTGAGATGACGTATCAACACACAACAAACCTACCACGCTAGGGAGCCTGGTTGTTAGTTTAACCCTAGGCCTAACAAGCAAACACTTAAAGCCCTGCCAAATGAATTTTAGATATATTAACACACCAAGCAATAAGCTGCAAAAGAAGACAATGTTATGATATGTTACCTAACAAGTTTTGTGTAAAAAAGCCTTCGCCATGATATCTATCCGGGATATCGACAGAAAGTTGAGAGTTGGACAATATCGGATATCTGCAGAAAAGCCAATATCGAGCATCTCTGACAGCAACCTTTTTTTTTTTTTTTTCACAAATTCCAACAAACGGACAAGTGAATTTCAAGAGTCGTGGCTAAATTAACTCGATGTAACATGTGGCTTTGTAAATGTTTAATTGGTCCCTTCCTGACACCATTACATGATCTTAAAAGGGTAGGAATATATTTCACCTGGGCACCACATGTGCCGCCTATAGCGAGCCCTCTCCCACATTCACACCACCTAACCCCACGAGCAGCGACAACGCCAAGACGGAGGAGGTGCCAACATTTGCCGTGCTGCGACAGTTTCGGGTTGCGGAGCAGGTCACATGTCACAACAGTGGAAAATCATTGTGATTGGATCTCCCGAGCCAACAGCTGGCACGGTATGGTCGAACGACAGAGGATAAGGTTAACCCTTTCCACACAACGGCAGCAAAAACCGCAGCTCAGCATGAGTCTTGTAAGTCACAAGTCTCTTCTTTACCCTAAGCTATTTAAGGCTGCTTTCACACA